ATTTTGATGGAATGGCCGATATTTAACTTCATCGCTAATATCGTCCGATATCGATACCATGCCGATAATATCGTGCATCCCTAGTATTTAGACTACGTGTTGAGGACCATTCTCAGCTACTACCACACCAACATTTAGCTTAATGTTTGTAAAAATGACAGTTGCAGCCATTTTGTGTTTGCTAGAAGTGATCAGTTGTGGCGGCGAGCTAGCGTGAATATTTCCTCGTGTTGTCCCGTTCCCTGGCAGGGTGAGTCGATTTGTCAGCGACAAGGAGCAGAGTTCGACGCTCATCAGTCTGCTGCTTCCTTATCTCCTTAAAGGCCACAACCCTCAGGTAAACTTGAGCTTTGTAGATCAAATTTATTTATGCGATCTTATAGTTGTGAGAGCAACACTGTAAGAGTTTGGCTAATTAAGAGAACGTCCCGTTTGTTGCAGGAGACGGAGATCGACATCCTGGCCACTGTTCAGAACCTGCTGCAGCGCTGCTTGCAGCCCGCCACCTTCCTGCGGCCGCTCAGTAAACTCTTCTCCGTCATTCACAACAAGCTGCCCAGGAAGGCCCTCGTCAGCGTCTTCCAGGTTCGCAGCCAGCGCTGAAATGTGTATTCTGACTTTTTTCACTCGCTGACCAAAAGTTAAGCACTCGGACGGAACGGTCTGACTAGCGATGGGTATGCAAATGACTCGATTGTCAAGGCTCTTCTAGAGTGAGCATAAATGTCGGCATCATAGTGTTATCAGGCAGTTGCTGGAGTGTCAAAGCAGTTGGTGAATGTCACCAAACGGAGGATGCCTCGTGCCGTCCGTTGGATCCAGCCCAAATGTTATCCGACATTGCACTGGAGTGCTTTGGGACAATGTGTGTTTACCGTACGTGTCGCACCGCCGTATACTGTACATCGCATATATTGTGTGTCACCGCTGACCACCCAGAAACGTGGACCGGTGTTGTGCCAAAAATCGATTGGCTGCCAAATGGCGGCTGCAGGAGCTTGCACGGGAGGACTTTAACAAGATTAACACTTAAAAACAATTATTTGTTTGCTCGAAATTATAGTAAAGGTGTGTCTCAGTCTAATTTTTCCTTAATAAATGCACTTTGATGGTCAGATCAGCTGCATTTCGCCTGGGCGATTCGGCAAAATGCAGCTCATTTATCGTTTGCTCCAGGAGTTCTGGAGTGAGACGAAGGTAGCTTGGTATGGCAAGCCAAGTGTCTCATTAATAGCCACATTTACCTATTGAGACACTTGGCTTGCCATATTAGTCGAGGGCCCTCTAGTGGCTGAAAATGGTATTGTTCAATATTTTCCACTCAGAATGAATGAAATCGTCAGATCTCAATTAAAAATTGATTTATAAAATATGGGGAAAAAACTTAAATACGTCACTTCACTGAATAAGTTGCTGGCATGCTAATCTATGCAAAAAGGTGTGACTTATGCAGCAAAACTTTTAATGCTATTCAACTGGTGGCCCCTGGGGCTAAATCAGGCCCACGACTGGGCTCTGGGTTCATTTTTAAATAAAACTAGATTTTAAACCATAAAACAAACTTACTTAATGGGAATGCTGGATGTCCGGCCCCTGAGCTCTTGGCTTTCAATAACTGGTCCCTTGAGCAGTTATGTTGAATAGCCCTGTTCTGTAGTATCACGGCTCATTTAGGAGTGCGCACAGAGAAGGAGAGGGCTCAGGCCGAGTTGGCGTCCGTGCACAAAGCACATTTTAATGTTCTGATCATGAATCACACATCAGATGACCCCTCACTGCCCAAGATGGTGACTGTTATTAACAGAAGATGAACTCCTGCTCTGTTTTCAGACTCTGTCAGACCTGGAGCCTTCGCTCACATACATCTCCGACTTAACAACAAAGGTAAGCGTTACGGTTTATTAAATTAGAATTGTTACAAAACTTTGTCAGGGCAGTGAAACACATGGAGGGTATGACTCTGTGCTCGAACCTTCCAGCTGAACGCGTTCGACAGCCGACACCTGGATGAGATCTACTTCGACGTGCGCCTGACTGCTTTCCAAGAGGCCACCAGGCGAGTCAAGCACATGCAAACCCTGGACCTGGATTATATCAGCACCCTCATGTACAACTGTTTCCACACATTTGAGGTGCGTAGATCACGGAGTGGCTTCTGGAACGAGAGCTGCAGCTACAAGTCCTCCTGTTTTGTTTGTTTTTGAATTCAGATCGGCGACATGTCGCTGGCAGACAACGCCACCCTGTGTTTGTCAGCGGTGATAGGTCAGGTGGCAGCAGTCGGGATGGGAGAGCAGATCTACAAGGATGTGATCCAGCACACCATCCTGGACGCTGTTCACAAAGGAATCTGCAGCAAGACAGAGGTTTGTTGTCTTTATTATTACAAAACAAATCCAAGACGAAATGCAGAAGCAGTGTGTGACAAACAACGTGTGTTCAGAGCGTGCAGCATGAATACACCACGGTCCTCGCCTGTCTGGTGAAGAACTTCCCCATCAGGAAGGAGTTCAGAGACCTGGTTCAGCTCACCGACTACAACGACCCCGAGTCTGATTTCTTCGAGCACATGAAGCACATCCAGGTACGATTCACACAATCTGCTTTTTGTATCCGCTTGACGAGACAAACACTGATATGTGTTTTGTCAGTATGTTCAGTTTGTGATGCTTGCACTCCTGGACCTCACCGTTGCTTTTGACACTGTTGACCAGAGTGTCCTTATGTCGCTGTTGGACCACTGGGTTGGGATTACTGGTGCAGCATTAGAATGGTTTCTTTCTTACTGTGGGGTCCCGCAGGGCTTGATTCTTGGACCCCTTCTGTTTTCACTCTACCTGCTCCCTTCGGGGCCTTTCCTTTCACTGTTATGCTGATGATTGTCAGATTTATCTGTCCTTTAAATACAATAGTTCTTACTCCATTCATCCTCTGTTAAAATGTCTTGATGACATCAAGGCATGGATTTTCAAATTTTTCAAGATTTAACGATCAGAAGATGGAAGTCATTGTGTTTAGCCCTATTTCTGCTGTTTCTATTCCTGTAAACCTCGACTCTCTTGAGCCTTGTCTTAAGTAGTCTGTTACAAATCTCAGGATGGTTTTAGACTGATTTTAAGTTTAATAAACCGATTAACTCTGTTCTGCAGAAAAGCTTAGTTCATTTAAGGCAGATAGCTTAGCTTAAGTCAGTGTTGTCCAGATCTGACCTTGAAAAACTAGTCCATGCCTTTATTGCTTCCCAACTAGACTACTGTAATGCACTCAATGTTGGGGTCAGTCAGGTCTCCCTTTCACGTCTCCAGCTAATCCAAAATGCTGCAGCCTGGCTCTTAACAGGAACTCGTAGGGTTGATCACATTACACCGGTTTTGTCCTCCCTTCACTGCCTCTTTATATGCATCAGGATAGATTTTAAAATTCTCCTGCTAACCTTTAAGTGCATAAATGTCCTTGCACCCTCATACCTCTCTGAGCTACTTCAACCAAATGTTCTTTCTCGGGCTATGAGATCATCTGCTTTTGGTTGAAGCTCAGAGGAGATCGGTCTAGACAGACCACTTCACTTTCTGTTTTTAAATCTCTACTCAAAACTCATGCTTTCTCTGACTTTTAACACCATGTGATTAGTATTTTATTGTTTTTATGTTTTTTCTTTTGATGCTGTGATTTATCTTTAATTAATTTTCAATACTACGTTTATTTTTTCCAATTCAGTTACTCCCATTGATTTTTATTGTTAAGCACTTTGGTAACTGCTGCTGTTGATGTGCTTTATAAATAAACTAGACTTGTTTTGGGTTTAATTAGATCCACCGTCGGGGCCGCGCCCTCAGGAAGTTGGCCAAGCAGCTGAACGAGGGCACGGTGGTCATGACGCCGCGTTCCCTGCAGAATTACATCATGCCGTACGCCCTGACAGCCCTGATGGACGAAAAGATGTTGAAGGTGACCGCAGCTTGGATTCTTTTTCAGAATGCAGGTTTGTTTTTTTTAAACCTTTGAGTTTAAACCTTTCAATTTCTGCCTAACCTGCAGCATGAGAACATGATGTCTGCGTCGGTGGAGGTGGTGGGTGCCGTGTGTCGCAGGTTGACCTGGTCCAGGTACATGTACTACCTGAAACACTTCGTCCACGTCCTGCAGACGGCACAGGCCGAACAGAAACTCATGGTCAGGTGTGTGAGCCCATGACTTCTTTCAACTTTTACCCATCTTCTTTATTTCAAAGCCGTCTTCTTTTCTACCATAATGTTTGTTTTATTTTTCACAGTGTGCTCGTTTCTGTGTTGGAAGCGTTCCATTTCGACCATCAGACCCTCAGCAGAGAAATGGAAGCTGCCAAAGCAAGAGAAGGTGCAAAACCGCTTCCGTTTTCCCTTTGTTTTTATCACCACATATGATTTAATTCACACAGTTTTAACGTACGATAAGCGTTTCAAACTCATTGCATTCCCAGCTGGAAACGTTACGATTGACGTGGATGACAAAATGGAGGCTTCAGACGCCAGCGACGACGACGAACCGATGGAGATCGAGTGCAGGGACGCTTCTGCTGACGTTCCCGTGGAAATGGACCCTGCTGGAGGCAAAACGCCGAGCGTGTCGGAGGAAGTGGCTACGACCAAATCCAAGTTGGAGGCAGCTCCTAAATTAGCCGTGGGGTGCAGCGGCTTGCCGCAGAGCAGAGAGGAGCTGGAGTCCCTGATCAGTAGGATCCACCAGACTGTTAATGAGAGCGTGCTGCCCCGCCTCCACAAGTGTCTCACCGCCAAGGTAGGCCTGTCACGATAACAAATTTAGCTGGGCTATTAATTGTCGCAGAAATGATTGCGATAAATGATAATATTGTTTGAAATTTGACAATAATTAGTAATTACTGTCAAATTTTAAAAGAAATGTTGGTAAATTTTTGTGTGTAGTACCTTTTTTGACCACCGGGTGGCAGTATAAGCCTGTTTGAACCGAAGGATGGATAGTGAGGAAGCGAGCAGCGTTTCTCTTTAAGAAAAATGAGAGGGAGGCCCCTTGACGTGACATGGGCTGTCTCTCTTCGGTCCCCAAAATGGCGGACGCTCGGTGTGGTTCGAGCTCTTCAGCATAGCATTTGACACGCAAAGCTTTTAATAAAAATCAGTAAACAAGTTCTCAGCTTCTTTTTGCAGAGAAAATAACTTTTTAGACAAAGGCACGGGTTTCAACTGTGAATTTTGGAGCTTCGACAAGACGGAGGTTTTTTCCTAAGGTCAGCCTGTTAGCTGCTTTTAATCATCCAAAAATGCGATTTTGGATCGTTAAAACAGATTTTAAAGAGAAAGGGAGGGGTCAGTGAAGAGCACCGGAGTTGAGCCTTTTATCATCCAGTGTCTTCAGTAGAAAGAGAAACAGGAAGAAACGATAAAGCCGATAAATGAAAATGAGGTTGATAATTTTCATTTATCGTGCGATTCATTGATTCGTTTATCGCGACAGACCTACAAGGTAGCCCACGTTTCTGCGAAAACTCTCCTCGGGCAGCGCCGTGAACATTTCCTGTTGTTCCTCCTCCTGTAGGTGACACGGGACGAGGAGCACAAGTCTGTGAAGTCGAAGGATGTGAAGGACGAGGAGGTGGTCCGGATACCGATCGCCTTCGCCATGATCAAACTGATGCAGACGCTGCCTCCGGACATCATGGAGGCCCACCTCCCCGGGTACGCAGCCCTGTTGTACTTTTTTAACTTGAAGAGTAATTTGGTAAGAACATATTAAACAAGCTTTTTTTTTTTTTTTTTTGATCCAGGATCCTGATCAAAATTTGCGTTCTGCTGAGGAACCGTTTCCAGGAGATCCGCGACGTAGCGAGAGGAACGCTGGTGAAGATCATCGAGACTTTGGGCTGCAGGTACCTTCAGTATCTGCTCAAGGAGATGACGGGGATTCTGGTCAAAGGCTACCAGGTGGGAGCACCGACCCAAATGAATAATAATAAACACCCAAAACTCTTAAAGAGGACAATAATCCAGCCGCTGGCTCTGTGTCCGTCCAGGTCCACGTGCTGACGTTCACTGTGTACCAGCTGCTGTCAGCGCTCAGTCCCACCCTCCAGAGTGGAGACTTGGACCCCTGCATGAACATGCTCATAGGTGTAAGGATGTTGCAAAACCCTGGGCCGACCGTCGGGCTTATTTTAATTTTAAACAAATTTCAGCAAAATAATTTGTTTTTGCAGAAAAGTGTTTCTCTGGTTGGACTTATTTATTTTTCTTGTGACGCCTCTCTGTCTCCGTTTGGTCAGATCTTCCACAACGAGCTTTTTGGAGCGGTGGCCGAGGAAAAAGAAGTTAAGGGCATCATTTCCAAACTGATGGAGGCGCGGCACAGCAAGAGCATGGAGTTGTACGAGCTGCTGGCCCGCTTCTGCAGCAAAGAGAGCATCACCAAGCTCATCCTGCCGCTGAAGGAGGTACTGCCAGAGCCACGCCCAGACTATAAACACTTTATTTACAAAGTCCTAAACTGTTTGTCTGCTTCCCCTCCGAACAGATTCTAGAGGACTCTTCCAATGTGAAGGTGTGTAACCGGGTGACTGCGGTGCTGCGTCGGCTGGTCCTGGGTCTGCTCGTCAACAGCGGCATGACGTCCCACGACATCCTGCTGCTGAGCCACGGCTTGGTGAGCGAGAGCCTGCCGCTGCTCACCAAGAGCAACCGGTAAGGAAGTCCACACAGGTTCAGACGGGCCTCAGACGTGATCGAGGAAGCACAGATTATTATTATTATTATTATTATTATTATTGGTCCTGTAAAGTTTGTACGCAGCTCTGATGTTTACACATTGTGGCCACGCTTACATTTTTTTTATTATAAAACTGTACAAAAATCTGTCATCGCTATTTTACTAATGACCAATCTAAATCTAGATAAAATTACAAAATACTAGCTAAAATAAAAGTAGCAAAAGGCTAAAAGCTAAATGTAGCAAAAGCTAGGCACAAGTTGCAAAAGGTTAGCTAAGTAGCAAAAGGCTAACTAAATTAAATGTATGAAAAGGCTAACTGTAAGCTAAAAATGGCATAAGCTAGGTACAAGTAGCAAAAGGCTAGCTAATCAAATATGAAGACTAACTGAAAGCTAAAAGTAGGAAAAGGCTAAATGTAGCAGACATTTTGTAAAAGTAGCAAAAGACAAGTTAAAATAAAAATAGCAAAAAGTTAAAAGCTAAATGTAGCAAAAGCTAGGTACAAGTAGCAAAATGCT